TGGGGTAATAGCTGCTATATCCAAGGAGACATCTGACTGCTATTTTGGGGTCAAGAACTAATTTTTTCCTAGTTTGTGGCAAAATTGGAAGCGCTTCAGACTAGGTTTTTTTCCTTCTTTTGGATCAACAGCAAAAACAAATGTGAGGAAGGCTGAACTTGATGCACACAAGTCTCTTTTCAGCTATGTAACTATGTAATATTCCAATTCTATTTTGGATCTTAAAAGGAAAATAAGACATATAACATTAATAAATATAAATGGAATAGGACAAAAATCTAAAAGGTGATATGTATTCTTTAAATGAGATTTTATTGATGCCATTCCATAATCTCATCTGTTTTTCTTTAGCACCTTCTTCCTCAGTATGTCTCCTCCTAACTGTGTTTAAAATAAATTTGTGTCCGTTGTCATATATAAAGATGAAAACTTGGTCTGAATCTCATTAGATTGTAGATGAGAATTTTTTTGGTTATTTACAGTAACTCTACCTATCTCCTAGCCCAGCTTCTACTTTAAAATACAATGTAGAAAGTAGCTCTATTTATCCAGAGCATAAACAATTACAAGAGGGCTGTTTGTGAGATCAGATGCAGAGATGGGAAAATTGCTCTTAAAAGAGCATAAGCAAACAAATTGAAATTTTCCCGCAGTTCATATTTAAAGGCTGCCATATAGCTGATAAGAAAAAAATATGAGCTGAAAAATCATATATGTGTAATGATATCAAATACTAGAAGAAAATAATAACATTTTGTGAACATAAATGGGGTAAAATGTATTTCTTACTAAGGTTAAAGTGTTCATTAGATCTAGAGACATCAGACTATAGCTTACTGCTTTTTTATAATTGGCATTTGAATGCACTTTAAAATAAATAATCCCTATCAAATAATGGGGCTGTAGGGGAAATAATAGGGAATAATATTCATAGATAAAGACTAGATAGCTCTTCAACTGTTGTTGAACTATTTATCCTTAGCTTTCATTAACCCCTTAAGTACTAAAACTTTTCTGTTTAAAATAGTATTAGATCTCTTTGAAACATCAAATGCTTCGTTGATAAATTATTATAAGTTAAAGCAACAGTTTAAAACAGTGCTTTACAGAGATTTCCAAACAATTAAAATTATATAAGTTTACGTGGCTTTAGCCTACTACTAGAGTAAGTGGTTTCTGCCCTAGACATTAGTTAATCAAAACAAACTTACTGAAGGAGGGTAGATAATATTTTTACTCGAAGACATACTCTTTATGAATTTATTTATTAAACCATATCCCTAGTTACATAAATACAAAGGCAGGAATACTATAAAATGTAATATTTAACTACTTAAAACGCCTCCTGACACGTCCGAGCTGTATTAGTCAGTCATACAGAAGCCAATCTAGTTCTCTCCTCTAACTAAATCCCCTTGTATTATCAAGACATTTCTTTGGGTTTTACAATTTCAGGCAATTCTTTGCTTTATATTAAAACCTCCATCAGGGTATTAGGACTGTTTTTGGGCTTGCCTCTTTTGTGTAAGTCCTCCTCAGCCCTTCATATTAATATCCACATACTGCTGTTAAAATACTCTCTAATTAAAATACAGAATACATATATACTATTATTTCTTACTTACATTATCCAGCAACGTCACATGCCTTTAGTCAATACGATACACCTCTTTCAGTCAGGGTCATCATCTCAGAGCACAATGACTAACAGTGCTTCAATTGGCACGTCTTGCTTACTGATGTCACTAATACGATTACTAACATCAATAAAAAGAAAAGATAAAGTTTATTTTAACTGATTGTCAAATCCATCTTTAAACGTTACTTACCATTGTCATACCAATAATGTTTGTTTTAACTATTGTAAAACCTAAATCCATGAAAGCGTTATCATTAATACAAAAAAGGTTTATGATATTATTAGAAAACAATGCTGCTTTAACTGTATATGCAAATAAATTACAAATAATATGTTTTGTTTTATTCCACCACAGTGTTCATTTGTCACCTGTATATTTGTTAGAATTAAGATTGATATGGTGATCATGTATTTTATGTACAAGGAAGTTAATTTAATAGTGTTTTCACCAGAGAAATAAATCAAAATATCTCAATCTATCTTGTAAGAAATTAAATTAGCAGTTATACTGTTACCACTTGATATAAGCAAAGTTACAATATATTCAGAATACTATTTTATAGATTTTTTTTTATTTATTTAAGAAAACAAATAATAATTAACTGTTAATTATCCCCCAAAATGTCAATTTAGTATAAAAGTGAGTTTAGTTATTTCATTTGCCACTGCTTACTATACAGATTAATATGGGCTTCCTATTATAATTAATATTGGACACAATACTATGGTAATATGCTTTTAAATTATGCTGAAATCTACATTTTAATCCCTTTTAAACAAGCAGAGTTATTCAAGTGTGAATTGTTGAGAATTCAAACTAAATTTCCAAGTTTTATGCTAAAACAGAATCATAGTTGACTTGGACGATGTTAGCAATTCAACTTCGTTGGCTTAAAATTTGGAGTTTGTGAATAACCCAGTCCAGTCAAGCCCTATTCAATTATTGGCATTACCTATGAAGATGCAGAGAGGGTAATGAGGGCAATGCCCTAGTCCGAGACTCTTGCCTTATAAATATCTTCCATGAAAATGTTATGATTATAGAAATGTAGAATCAGAGTTTGCAAGTTTTGGAGCTGTTGTCAGAAGATAAACCTGCATTATTTATTTTATCGAAGTATTGATAAACAGATACATGGATGATTATCACCAATAACCATTCACAATAAAGAAACTTGCATTTATTCAGAACAAGACAATACTATAAGATCAAATCATCATAAAATAAATAAGGGGAATAAGGAATTGATTATCAACTTTAGAAAATCAACTCACAATTTAGGACTTAAATACATTGCTCTATATTTATATAATCTGAACTCTTAAAAGCTATGTAAATTAGTTTAGATTGGGCAACTAAAGAAACAAAGCATTATTGATTAATTATGGGTTATGCAAGGTTTGCAAAAATATATATTAAAAAAACTACATATATATATATATATATATATATATATATATACATATTTATAAATGCACCTCTGTCACCTTGTGGGGTCTAAGGTCACAACTAGACTCATGGGGAATGGCATGGGAAAATTTGGTTCTGGCAAACAATTTTTCAAGAAAATTGAAACTTTTCGGAACACCCAAATTTCAGCCATATGGCAGCTAGGAAACTTATCAGTTAAACCATAACCATGCAAAAATAGGCCAATCAGTGTACTGCAAAATACGTTTATAATATATTATGAATACATTTTGACGTACACTGATAGGAACATGTTTCTTCCATTTAGCTCACATCTTGAGTGAGAAAAAGGGACCAATAAAGGGGAAAACAGGATGAGCAGTAAAAATATTTATATTTGTATATTACTATTATAAAATTATTAATGATATGATATATAAATATATGAATACATTTTTTTTGTTTGTTTACCGCTGGCCCTTTTTTTCCCCTTTATTGCTTACTTCTTACTTGATCTGTGAAAATAATCAACATATATTGACTATATCCTTGCTTTGATTCATCTCTTTTTGGCATCAAGGGCAGAATTCAGAATCACAAATCAAAATAAACATTGGTTGGTGTTTTGGGGTTCATTTCAAGTTGAAATTCTGTAATTCGACTGATCACCTTATCAGTTCAAATTCAGATTAATTGCACTTTGGATAAACAAATCTCTAGTGACATCATTACTCAGAGTGTGGAGGCCCAGGGTTGCAGTAGGTATATGTGTTGCAAGCTTTCTCCATGTGCCCACCATCATCTTTGTTGACATCCTTTATTGCCAGCCATGTCAGTGCTGAACTACACTGATTTCTAAACAGAACAAGACCTCTGGATCCTCCATAGACTGAGTCTCGCTATCTGCAGCAAATAGCCTCATTCTCACAGGTGTTGCTAGCAATGATTGGGAGAATTGACAAACCATAATGATGGAAGCTCTGCCTTTTGTCAACCTTTGTCAACATTTGACATTAGGGGCTACTTTGTCTTATGTTACTTTTTTATGATGTCCAACACAGTTAGTGTGAGTTATTTCTTTATTTTTTTATTTTAAATATGCTTAACTAAACAGAAAGATAATTTGATGAATTGAGATGATCTAGATTACAATGAAATGTACCAACGATTAGTTGTCAATTCTATTCTGCTGTGCTGTTATAGTCATAGTATATTTGAACGAATCGCATAATAGCAGTAGCTGGTTGAGATAGTGTATATCAAAGTTGAGCTATGTGTAAACAAACTGGCACATTAAATAGCATATAACTTTACTAAAACTTGCCTATGTTGTATAGACATATTTCTATTCTCTCTGGGCCTAGCTTGCCCTACTGTGTTTGGAATTAACTGAGTATTGGATCGCTAGGAGCAAGGTTCAACATAAATAACGTTATACTAGCAGGTTAGTGCTGGCATGGGAGTAAAGTTTATTTGGAGCAAGTCTTAGGTGACTGAGATTGGGTATTTAGCTTGTAAGAGAGTTCTGGGCAGTCTGTGCTATAAATACCCGTGTGTGGCAGTGTAATGGGTGATTTATCCGATACCCCTTGTTGGTACAGCTCGGGCTTTGTCGTCCTCGTTCTTTCTTTTGTGACCCCGGAATTTGCTGTCTCTGTGGCAAGGGACGTCCATTATGGTGCCTGTTGGAGTGTGCAGCCGTACGGTCGCCTGTGTTGCCGGAAAGTTCAGCAGCATGGCTGAGGAAGGGGTAGAGTCTGCGTGGGGTAATCAGAGGAGGACTGGAGTGCGTCGCTGGAGTCTCTTTGGTGCTGCCGATTCTCGTCGCTGGGTTGAGTGAAGAGCCCGGAGGGTCCCCTTTGCTTGCCAGGGTTGTGGGTTGGAGTGTTCAGGGCGGCTGTTCCGGTGGTGCCCCATTTGTGGTGAAGTCAGTCGTTTGGGTTTGCGGGCCTGCCGGGAGCCCCGTCCATGTTGGCGCCAGTTTCTGGCTCTGGCTATGGGAGGGAGTGTGCGTTTGCGGTGGGTGTTTGTCGGCCGAGCTGTGGGTGAGTCTGTGGCCCTTCTGAGTGCCTCTGCTTGTTGCTCCTTGGCCACCAATTTCTCCCAGAACGCGGACAGTATAGCCTCCAGCCTGGTTGAGAGGTCGGGTCTTTTCCTTGGTGTGAGCGCACGTGGCGACAGCCATTTTACCGGGATAACCCCCTCCGGTCCAGGGGAGGGTACAGGGTGCCCGCGGGTCTGGTCTCCGATTTGTTGGCTAAGAGAGCGGCTGTCTCTCCCCGCCTTCGTCGCTTGCCAGCCCCAGCTAGCCATCTTGGGTTCCCGGTCACCGATATTCTCGGGAAAAGTGTCAAACGTGTCACCAGGTTTCTCCTATGTGCAGGCAGTGACTCCCGGTTTAATATGTAGCACGATTTTTGTGGGATATCGTAGATTATCGGTAGTTCACACAGGAGCTCAGTTTTCAGGCGTCTGCTCTGCTTGCTGGCTTCGCCCCGCCCCCCTATTTTTTATTTTAAGATGAACTTTGGTAACATGACATTTTAACTAAAGAGTGTTATTTTGGTAACTAACATTTTTATAGATGGAAACAAAACAAGTATACTTGGATATATAATACAGCTCTTAAAACAAAAGATAATTAATAAGAAGGTTAATCCAAGCACCATGGCTTCAGTACTTTGCTGTGGTCATTGTTCTTGGAATCTGTATGTGCAGTTGTTTCGGTTTAAAATGCCTCTCATAGAGAGATATAGCCCTTTTTTACCAGACAAACATTTTTTGTTACCTCCTTTCCAGTGCCATGGACAAGTTCTTATGTCAGCCAGATCCTCTGCCTCTGGCACTCACTGTCGGGGGAGGGATTTCAGAAAGGACAGGATGAGGGGTGAACTTGGCACTGCCAGAGGTAAACTTAAACATCATCAACAAACGGGATAAACTCTGTATTGTAGCATTTCATATCAAAACTGTGAGCTTACAGACTCTAACTAACATAACCACTTCAAATCACTGATATGATTATGGTGCTTTTTATTTTTATCTCTGGGATGTTGACGTGTATTATGTTTTATTAAATTATTCACTTTGTAAATAAGTAGTCATTTAATAGATGGGATTAAACAAACTGCTCTTTTTAGAAGATTATGGATGTTATATGTTTAAGATTTGCAAGTTAAATTACATTTCAGGTCTACTTTACAGTAAACATTGCATAACCTAACAGGTTCCTAGAATCCATGCAGTACCACGGTATGGGTTCAGTCTCCTTGAAGAAATAATATGTATCACTTGTGCTTCCTTGCCACTCTTCTCCTGGCTGTGACTCATACAGCCTACATTTAAAAAAATGGTTTCTGCATCTTCAGGTGAAATGCATCTTGGGAGGAAAAGGAGGACCCCATTTGGTCTTACTCTATCTAATCTGCATTTATTTCATTTTTTAATTGTTTATTTTACATGCATTCTTGGATTCTTAACTATCCTCATATCCACATCCATGTATCCTGGTTCATGGGGGGCAGTGTCACTCCACAACTGACACAAAGTCTGCAAACTCGGAGCCATTTAATTATAGACTTCAAAAAGGCGAGCACTGAATTACAAAGGATTTTTTTTTTTATACTATTTGAAAATATATGTAATACTACACTTAGATGGTTTTTTTGTTCTTTGCTTTTTCTCACTTTCATATGTGCTATTGGGAGAAATATACTGGACATTGTGTGTTTGCCAACTTAAAGGCACAAAGGTTTCAGAATTTATAGCCTGTATCCTAAAAGACTCTAGTAAATATGAGTTTGATTCCATTCACCTTACTGAGTGTTATTATACAATAGGCACTATTGTTGGGTTTATTGCATCTTTTTGGATTTATCAACCTCTATCATAGTTAAGGGATATTTTTTTTAAATTATTCTAGTACTGCGTTTATACTTTACATTTTTAACCCCTTAAGGACTGGACTGTTTTTGCGATGTTTTACATTTGCGACCAGGCATATTTTTACACTTTTGTGGTGTTTGGCTGTAATTTTCCGCTTTCTCATTTACTGTTCCCATACAAATTATATATTGTTTTTTTCAGGACAAAAGGGGCTTTCTTTACATACCATTATTTATATAATCTCATGTATTTTAATTTTAAAAAAATTAAAAAATATGATGAAAAATTGAAAAAATACATGTTTTTTGACTTTTACTTGAAAAATCTTTTACTCATCTACAAAAGCGAATGAAAAAAACTGCTAAATAGATTCAAAATTTTGTCCTGCGTTTAAAAATACCTAGTGTTTATGTGCTTTTTTGCTTTTTTTTGCATGTTATAGGGCTATAGGTACAAGTAGGATATTGCGGTTTCAAAACATACATTTTTAAAATTTATCAATAGTGACATTGTAACACTATTATCTGTCATAAATCTCTGAATAACACCCCACATGTACATATTTTTTTTAAAGTAGACAACCCAGGGTATTCAATATGGGGTATGTCCAGTCTTTTTTAGTAGCCACTTAGTCGAAAACACTGGCCAAAGTAAGCATTCATATTTGTTTGTGTGTGAAAAAAGTAAAAAAACTAAATTGAACGCTAATTTTGGCCAGTGTTTGTGACCAAGTGGTTACTAAAAAAGACTGGACATACCCCATTTGCAATACCTTGGGTTGTCTTCTTTTGCAAATGGTATGCCATCATGGGGGTAATTCTCATTCCTGGGCTACCATACGCTCTCAAAGGCAACGTAACCAACCTGGCCATTTTCAATGTAAAAATATTTGACCCATATATTTGACTTTGTAACTTTCAAAAATGCTATAAAACCTGTACATGGGGGGTACTGTTTTACTCGGGAGACATCGCTGAACACAAATATTAGTGTTTAAAAACTGGAAAACGTATCACAACAATTATATCATCAGTAAAAGTGCTGTTTGTGTGTGAAAAATGCAAAAAAAGTAACTTTCACTGACAATATCATCGCTGTGATATGTTTTACTGTTTAGAATCACTAATATTTGTGTTCAGCGAAGTCTCCCGAGTAAAACAGTACCCCCCCATGTACAGGTTTTAGGGTGTCGTAGAACGTTACAGGGTAAAATACAGTGCTAGCATATTTATATAGTTTAAGTCTACGTGTATATTTATATAATTATTTATGTAATTTTGTATATGGACATATGTATATTTCGTATTATTTTTATTTATTTATATATACATAGATATATATACAAATTCATTCTAAGTGTATTTTGATATAAATATATATATATTAATTTTAAAATACAGTGAGAATAAAATTTCATATAGATATATAATTTTTTTTTTAATTTTTATTATTATTTAAAAAAAAATTATTTAATTTAAATTACTTATTATTTATATTTTATAATAATAATATATATATAATATATATAGTTATTATATATATTATATATATACGTGTGTAATTTAATTATAAGTGTATTTTTATATTAATATAAGTACATATTAATATAAAAATACACTTAGTATGGCATTATATATATAATTATTATTATTTTTTTTATTAACACTAACTTTATTTTTTTTTCTGATTTTACACTAGCAGGGAGACTGCCTGTCAGCACAGGCAGTCCCCCTGCAGGCAGACACATGGACACCTATTGTGACCATGTGATCGCTCTGTTAAGCGATCACATGGCCACAGGGGTCCTAATTCAGTGTGGGGAGACTGTCTGGGCTGCAGGCAGTCTCCCCACAACCGGAGCCATGCTGATCGCCGCCGGGGGAACGACGGCGATCAGGTAAGTAGCTCAGACCGTTAGGACGGTTCAGGACCGTCATCGGTCGGCAAGCCAAAAATGCCGATGACGGTCCTGAACCGTTCTCAGTCGGGAAGGGGTTAAGGTAGTGCATATCATCTAAACATTGAATCACAGATTTTTGTCATTTCGATTGTAGTTCTTATTATATTGCTTTATTCACCAGGCTCAAAAAAAAATTAAGAAAAAATACTGTGTTAAGAAATGATCTCAAATTACTGATATTTAATCTAGTTGTGAAATTTTGACAAATCATTTTTAAAAATCACTTGAAAGATTATGCAATTTGCTTGGCAAGTTTAGCCTGAATTTTGTAATTTAGTTTTACTACCCTTTCACTATGTTTCTTAATACATTTGAGAATTGTGGATAATTGACAAATGGGAATAGAAAAGTTAAACTCCAAATAGTAAAATTTACAAAAAAAATACAACTTTGTATTCTTGCTCAGCGATTTTTGCCTAAAATCCCTTTCATTTAGTCTCTGTATTTCTTGGATCAATGAATAAAACCCATGTCCTGAAATGTTTCAGCTGAGCATTGGAATCACACTATAGGTATACTGTGTTATGCTCACTTGACTCATTTAATACAATTGTTTACTTGTCCATTCAAGTCAATCTACAATTATTCTACCCATGCATGAGTAACCTGCATCTTCTCATTGCCTTCCGCTTGCTTTTTAATTACTATTATTTTTCCAACTTTGTAAATTTAATTATGCATTCTTATGTTATGTATTACAACGAGTTTCATTAGATTTTTGCTAAATATATAATCCATTAATAATCTAAATAATAAGAACTCTTTTCCTAAGAATCTATGGGATTATGCATAGACTCAGGAATACAGTTTTTTTGCCTGACCCTTTAATTAGTTATTTGATATAGTTTAACTTTCTTATTATTATTATTATTAGTAGTAGTATTTTGTTATCATATTTTTTAATTCTTAAATTAAAATATTCTTCAATCAATATTATGCATTGTAGCTTAAACTTACTCAGTAGTAAAATAATATTGAAAATTACAATTATAAAATTTTATAATCTATAAAGAAAATAAAAATATAAAATATTTGTTACAGAAATATTTTACATTTATCAATAATGTCATATGGAAAAATTCAAGTAAAAAGTATATTATACCAAACACATTTGTTTCTGTGCACCTATTAATATATACAATGATACAACTAAGCTAAATATATAAACTCAAAATATAAATCACTCATTCATAAAAACTGAGACACAAGCAAGGGGATTTTCTTCTTTGTTTTCTTCTTTTTTTTGTTGTTGCTATTAATGTTTTTGTTTTTTTCAATGTGAGGCATTTCATGCCCTTAGTTGTATAATCAAGGGATGGCTAGTTAGTTTTAGCATGGGG